TGTTGACGGCTATAATTTTTATTTTATTTTTTTTATTTTTTACAATTCTTTTAAATTAAAGCTTAAAGACTGATTTCTTCACTTCATCTGCCTTAGATTCACAACAGTGCTTGAAGTCTTGAACAAAGGAAAACTTCCAAAAATTCCTATCTATTTACTATTTACATTTGAATCTTATTCTTTTGTTGGAAACTTTGAAAAATTGTATAAAGCTCCTATAAATCTATTTTAGATGTTTAATAGGTAATAATTTTAATTATTAAATAATTGTTTGATTGATTAAAAATTAAAATAAGAAAACTCATTTTTAAGTTTTTTTTACATCTATGCCTTGTCTAAGCTCGTCTAACTAATAGCTTGGCATCTACGTATTACGTTTTTTAAAACATTGCCTCATTCTAATCCCATATTTGGTGGGATTAAAATTAGATTTTTAGTAGATTTTGATAAAATTGTTAAAGTATGTGGTTAAAAATTTGTTGATCCCATGAAATGTGTGGTTAAAATTAATTGTTGACTTTATCTTAAATTTAGATTTAGATTTTAATTTCTACCAAAATAGAAACTAAGTCTTGGGAACCGTCGTTGGTGGCATAGTCACCCGGTCTACCATCTTTATCATGAATATGCTACTTCTGGAGAGAGCTTGTGATTTGAAAAAGAGGTGAACTACTTTGATTGAGCCTCATAAATAAACCAAACTCACAAAAATGAAAATAAAAAAATGTAAATCATTCTACGAGTAGGTTATTATAGTATTCTATTTCGACGAATGAGTAACTTATAACATGGTGACTTTGTTACAAGGAATAGTTAATATTACACTTGTTAATCTAGATATATTTCAATTTTATATTATACGTTATAGAATAATCGTACATCCATCTGAACATAGGGTCAATATCTGCTATCCATCTAATTAATTTTTGACATGGTGACTTTGACGAGTAGGTTATTATAGTATGCTATTTTGACGAATGAGTTACTTATAACGTGGCGACTTTATTACAAGGACTAGTTAATATTACACTTATTGATCTATATTTATTTTCAATTTTATATTATACGTTATAGAATAGTCGTACATCAATCTGAATATAGAGTTAATATCTGCTATCCATTCAATTAATTTTTGACATGGTGACTTTGACGAGTAGGTTATTATAGTATGCTATTTTGACGAATGGGTAACTTATAACAAGGTGACTTTGTTACAAGGACTAGTTAATATTACACTTATTGATCTATATATATTTTCAATTTTATAGCATACCTTATAGAATAGTCGTACATCCATCTAAACATAGAGTCAAGATCTGATATCCATCCAATTAATTCTTAACATATCCTCAATAATTAGTATGTTATCTCATATTTACACTTATTGATTTCACTACTAACCTATTAAATTAATGATGTGTTAATAATTAATTGGATGTACAGCAGAATTGAACAACAGATCTTGAACCCTAAACATAATCGTATCCACCACCCGTGTTATGGAGATTGCGGCCTTCAATAGTCCAGCATTTAATTCCTTAAGGCATATACACTAAAAAATCTGGGGATGGACTTAATGTAATACAATGTGATAGATATGTAATTATATAATGTCCTTTAGGTTCACAAAGGGGTCACAATGTTTTTAATTGTAAAAAGCATTTATGGAGAAGTTGGAGTATCGCATGGGAGACTAACAAATCCAGAGCTCTAGAGAATTTGTTATTTAATAATTGATTTTGGTATAATTTACAAATGAAATGTATGTTTTTGTTTATAGGTGCGAGGATATAGATATGTTCATCATTATTATTTTTGTCTATCATCCAACAATATATCTGTAATAATATTATATATTATCGCATTTGATTTTATCGTTTATATTTCAGCGCAGATATATGCAATTTTTTGGTCAAATATTGAGCACCATATGAGGATTTTTGATAAAGAAATATTTATCAACGAATGTTAAATAACAAATTTTAAAGAACATTTTTCACTATAAACAATTACTAACTTATTAAATATATATGAAAAAAAAATTGTGAGAGCTCCTACTTCAACTTGTATCCCTTTATAATTCATACATGTTTGTCCACTTATCTACATCTACAACAAATTAAAAGTAAGAATTGAGGAGAAACTTTTGATTACCGAATTTACCCTTACATATTTAGCTCTATGTCCAACAGACCCTCATTTATCCTTATATCTTTAATTTGTCATTTTACCCTTACATTTTTATGTTTATGGTCGATAATACCCTTAAAATTAAATTTATTTCAACTAAATTCAATAATTGTTAAAATTAATAATATTTATTTTTAAAATTAAGTCAATTAATTTTTAGTAAACACTATTATTATTAATTATCAGTATATGATTAATAAAAACTTATATAAAATCAAAATAAAAATTATAATAATACTACATATATAATTAACATGAAATAACACAGACTATTAAGTCAATTAATATTAATATATAAAATTTATAAAAATAACAAAATTATATATACAATTAAAATTTTTTAAACCTAATATTACAATTAAATTTTTTTAAAATTTGTGATTTTTTTAAATATTTAATGAATATAAACTGTGCATTGATTTTTGCATTTTAATATTTACATTCGTACATATTTTACTTTTTAAATTTATTTGACGTATTTATATCCAAACAGATCAAGTACGAACTTTGTTACGTTGAAGTAAGAATTTTATAACGTATTTGAAGCTTTCATTCAAAATAAAGCAGAAAATATAAAAATTCAATTTTATGAATTTAAGTATGTCAGATGTTTGTAGAAATGATAGAATTTAGTAATTTTTTGACATGCTTGCTATTTGTTAGTTCAATTCAATATTTGATAATTTGAAAATTTTTGTTTTTTATCCTCAATGTTATTCTTTTTTGTAACTTTATTTCACATTTCACATTTGATTTTTTATTTTTATTTTTTGTGTGGAATCTAAATACAAATCAATTTTACCAAAAGAAGTTTCCAAATACATTAGTGCCAAATGATATCCACCACATAGTTAATATTGAAATGAAATAGTCCAGTGATGCTCTTAAGGAATCTAAACACATTCAATAATCTTTACAATGGAACAAGAATGATTTGTTGTGATTTCGATAAATATAATATTCATTCAGAAAACCCATCGGATAATATGCTGGAAATAAGTTTTCCACCTGCACATTCCATTAACTCCAACAAATGATGTAGGATATCTATTCAAATTCAAGAGAAAACAATTTTCGATATATCTATGCTTGTAACTACCATTAACAAGGCTCAAGGACAAAAAATGTATATTATTGGAATATATATTTCTAAATATATATTATCTCATGGGCGACTATATCTAGCGCATTTTTTGTGAAGTTTCAATACAAACAATAAAAAGTCCTGGTAAAAGGTTAAAAATAGAAAATAAAAAGAATAAAAGGGGTTGGACGTTGACAAAAAATACTGTGTACAAAAAAAGTTATTCTAATGAAAATAATATATTTCAATTTATTCAACCTCTATATACACAATTTCATAAAAAAATGTGTTATTCCTATATATTTCTTTTAACAATTTAATATTTTACTTTAACAATATCTATCACTTTCAAAAACATTTTTAGTTCTTAAAAAGTATTACTCATATCATTCATCCAATACATTAGATGTGCAACACACGTACTTACTACTAGTTGAATGAAGTGGCAATTGATGTGCTAGGAGAACCATGCAAGGATTCATGGGGGAAAAAGTTACCTGCAATATTTATTGAGTCTTAAAAATTTAATCTTATCAACAGGAGTAGTGAAGTTGTAATCACGATAAAAATTAATGTCATATTGGACTAATACATAATTTTACCATTTAACATGCCTCGTAAAACAATGACTTTGTTTGAAGATATCATTTCTAAAACTCGACTGCCCATTTGAACGACTATCTTTTCATGTTGTACCAATAGATGTTTCAAGGGAGGTTAATCAACAAAGCAAAAATGATTTACTTGATTGAAGGACTTGAAGAGAATAGGAATAAAGTAATTTGTTTCAATCTAAAACGAGTTACACTGAGCTAAAAACTGAACATAATAATATACAAGTTCAAACTGTGTTTCCCAACTATACTTTATGAGCACATATTAGCCAGTATATTAAAACAACCAATAAGGCATTGATCCATTAATGCCCATATCACTGCCACACGGAAAAATACAGAAGGGATAATTGCATCCTTTCTTCCCGAAGTATTGTCAACTTAGCAAATTAGTCAAATCTCTAAAAGGAACAAATTAAATTTCAAACTGTGTTTCCCAACTATACTTTATGAGCACATATTAGCCAGTATATTAAAACAACCAATAAGGCATTGATCCATTAATGCCCATATCACTACCACACGGAAAAATACAGAAGGGATAATTGCATCCTTTCTTCCCGAAGTATTGTCAACTTAGCAAATTAGTCAAATCTCTAAAAGGAACAAATTAGTCCTCATCCTTTCGATATGGCTTCAGAATTAGTCTCAAACACAAAGTTTACCCGAATTTTTGCTAAATCATCACGTGGCTCTTTAAAACCATCGTTCACTTCAAATTTTTTAGCACTAAGACAAGTTAAAAAACAAGACTTAACTTTCTTGAAGTCGAATATGTGAGTGTCTCAATATTTTGACAGAAATATAGATTATTTCCATCAATGGAGATTAAGCCCCATCCTCTAGAATTTTATTTTCTTCCTTAACTCATTTTCAATTGCATATTCTCTCAATAGAATAATTTTATATATAAATCCAATTTTTTTCCCAACTTTTTAACCACGCATTCTTTAAATCACCGTTACAAAACTCATTTTGCCCAAAAAGGCTCAAACAGGGGCTGATTGTGCAGCTATAGTAAAATGTTGAAAAACCAACTGCTCATCGAGCAATGGCCAGGGGACAATGATGAAACTTTTCGATGTCATAATGACTATGCATATACAGACCGAGGACAAAAGATGGCATTGGCTCAGTGATCCCTACAATTTACAAACGGAATTGGAATCCCAAAAAAACAAGAATTTTGTACAAAATATTGAGACTGTTTATACACAAACTCGGGCAAAAAATGCATTGATCCATCGATCCCTACCAGTTCCACACTAAACTGGAATCCCAAATATAAGAAATTTTTACAAATATAATGAACATACACAAACCAGAGCAAAAAAGGCATTGATCCAATCATCCCTACCAAGTAAAAGGAAAAGAATAAAAGCCTCACCAAAGAAAAAATTAACAAACCTATAGCTTCTTCAATGCATTTAAATTGTCAGATGCTCCAATTGCAAAAACTATACCCGAATCACAGTATTCCAGCTGCTACACATCAATAGGAGGACTGAAAAACGTTTCCTGCATTGAAGAAAACAATATCTTCATAGTACTATTGAGGTAATGAACCATGTTACATTAACAAAAGATCAACCAACATAAATAGGACTTGAAAACTTTTCGCAAACCTGATCACACACAGGACAAGTATCACTTCTTTCCATCCACTCGAGAATACAAGCAAGGTGAAAATGATGATCACATTTTGTGATGAGTTTTGGATTCTCAGCATCATATTCTGTAGGCAGAGAGAAAAAAAGTTAAGATTTACTTCTTTAAGTCCAAACAAAAGGCAACACAACATGTATAAATCAGTAGTTGCAAAACAGTAACTGATTCATGTCACCTTCAAGACAGATGGGACAAACATCTTCCTCATCCTGTAGAGATGAAACGAGAGGTTCACTGGACTTCTCAAGATCATCTTCATTTTTTACTTCATCTGATGCTGTCAGCTCAATATTCAATTGCCCCTTTTCACCAGAGTCTGAGTTTTTTACTTTTGTGTCCAAAGTGCTACCAGAGTTAGTTTCCTCAGCAGATTCTGCATTTGTATTCTCCACAGCCGGTTCGGTCTTGTTTCCAGAACTATCAAAGTCCCGGGATGGAGTATGAGGGCATGCTACATGTGTATCATAAGGTATCGGTGCAGGCGGCGGCCTGTAAGTGTCTGGGACTGAGGTATCGAGATTGGTATCAACCAACAGCCCTGTAGATAGAGCAGAAACTGTTTCATGGTGAGATGACAGAGGTTCACGCTCCTCTGACACTCTTGGATACTGCAAAACAAGTGGCATGTCCACTTAGAAAATTAGACGATTTTGGTGAAGAACAGTTCATCAGGGTTATCAACACATATGCTGTGTACATAAACGTCATTCCAAAGAAGGGTAAGACTGGACTTAACTCTTAGCACTACATTTCATTAGCATGTGTATATATACAGTTTAATGGTTAAGTTCATTGAAATAGAAAAAAGTTAATTTGTTTTTGCCTCGTCAAAAATTCAATAATTGCGAATGGAAGTCAAGCGACTTCGCTGCAGCACGCTAAACAGGAATGAAAGGAGACTATAGAACTTGTTGGTGAGTTCTGCTAAATAAAAAATGCAGTGCATTACTACATTATGTTTTCAGTAGTATATTTATGGTATTCCTATATAATTTACTTCCAAATAATTGTTCAAAAAATTAAAGGCTCTAAAATTTCTAATAAATTTCACAGGTAACACAAAAATAAATAAATCTTGAAACTTTGCCCAGTTTAATAAATTAATTAATTTTTATAAATAACAAAATCACTAACATAATTTACTATGAGGGAAGTGATTTATATTTTTTTTATAATAAACAAAACTGAAATGGAAGTAACTGTTAGTGTTTTGTTATAAATGGAATCATAAAACCTACAGAATTATTAGAACGCCCTATGATGGGAAACTTCCATGAACTAATTATTTCTAACAAAAACTGATTAGGATAAATTTTCAAAAAGTATCATTGTAAAATGTGTTAAGAGTAAAGAAGAGATATTTACCGTGTAGTGGTTATTAATTAAAAAACCTTATGATAAGTGTCCACTTAAATTGTATTGTAAACGCTAGAGTAAAGGTATTTTTTAATAGATATATAAATAAAATTAAGCCCCTATTTGGTTCAGCTAAAAAATTGATTAAAATCCAAGTCAAAGTCAATAATTAATTTTAACTGCATATTTCATGGAATCCACGACTTTTAACCATATATTTTATCAACTGTTATCAAAATCTACAAAAAATCTAATTTTCTAAATCAAATAGAAGCTAAGGATGTACACGATGGAATTGTCAAAAGTTCGAGATCTAGAGATAATAGTACTAAAGAATTTCCCATTACTAAAGGCCTGTTTAGGATAGATTATTTTAACATCATTTTCAACTACACATTTTATATCTATGGGATCCACAACTTTTTCCCACGTTTCAATCATACATCCTCAAAAAAAAAAAAGGGAAAAAGCTTTAAGGCTTCAATGTAATCGTGGATAACTTATGACGCATATCGAATGTGAGCTCCCATGGTGGAAGCTTCTGATAACATAATTTAATTGATGAGTTGATGAGACCATGGGGTGGATAATTTGTAAGTTTAAATTTTGGAAAGCGCTTTGGAATCTAAAAAAGGAGAACCAAGGCCCAATACATAGGTTGTCATTTTAGTCCAGATAAGAACAAGAATAACACTAGAGTCATTCTACATCATCTTGTCGTCCCAAACAATAGCTTATTTAAATATTTAGGTTCCGTTACAGAAGGAAAGAAGGCTTAATGAGCATGTAAAGGATACAAGAGAGCAAGTTGGATGAATTAGCGACGTACTACAAAGATTTTATGTAATATAACAGGCATACAATTGGAATTACTAGAGGTGAGGTAATGGAGATAGAGATAATATTTTAAAATAGAGATCAATTCAAATTATGTTTGTTTAGATTAGATTTAATTAATTTTAATAATTATCTAAAGTTCTAGTTTATTCCCCTTTTCTTCTTGTTCTTCAATTGTTTATTGTCAAATTGTTACATTCCTGCGTCAATTTAGCATCAGAACCTGTCGTTTTCCTTTGACTTAATATCTTTCGTCCTGAAACCCAACAATACCAACCATCACACAAATAATCAAATCATTATCATACACAAATTCAAGAACAAAATAATCAGGTAACATAACACTAGAAGTTCCCATTTTTTTCCTTTCTAGTTTTAAAAAATCGGCCAGAAGTTTCAAAAAATGAAAAAGAGGATTGATTACTTTTGTTTTTCTACTTCTTTAATGAAAAAAAAAAAAGAAAAAAACTCTCTGTCTTTGAATCCACCAATACAATTCAACTGACAAAACCAACTTCCCAGATACATCCGATTAAATATCCATCAAACCCAAGTTCATATCATCCATCAGACCTTTTTAAAACATACCTAAGTAGTCAAATCTAGTAACCTAAACACTAAACCAAACCAAACCTCAACAGCCTACACCCAAGCCCATTAACCACAAACCTCCCAACCCATCACTATCATCATCATCATCATCATCATCATCCAATCAAAACTCTAACCAGATCCCGCAGTCGACAAGTCCAAGACAAATGTTTTGGCAATAAATTTTTGTTCTGCTTTAGTTTATTGAAAAAATGAAAAAAAAGGGAAAAAAGTTGTTCATCATTACTGTTCAAAGGTAGTGCTTATCCGAAAAAAATTGACTAATGTTTGTAAGATCCGTGACCTATTTTCTTCCGATTTATTGAATCAACAGCTTAGCAACATTCAATTGCAGCAGCCCACTGTCACTTGTGTGCTCGTCCACCGTAGCCATGTCAACTTGAAGATGATCATTTGGACACTATTTTAACGATCTTTAGTTCAACAAATATTCAACTCACAAAAACCTAACAAATTTTTAAATACACGGCCCATCATATTTCTATCAAGCCCAAGTCCAAATCGTCCATCAAATCCTTTTAAACATAACTCACTCACCCTGAATAACCAAGCCCAAGTAGCCAAATCCAGTAGCATAAACACTAAACTAAACATCAACAGCCCACTAATTATAAACCTCCCAACAAATCAGTAAAATTATCATCCAATCAAAATTCTAACTAAAAGCTTGAAGACGATGATTTGAACACTCTTTGGCTCTTTTGAGTCTTGTGAGGTATCAATTTCTTTTATACTAAAAACATGTTATTTATGTGTTTTGCCTTGTCAAGTTTTTATTTTAAAAAGGTAAAATATAGCAAAATTAATTTGAAAAAATTCTTTGCCTCGACACTCACTCTTAACATCATGTACGATCTATATAACAACTCTTATACCTATTATAGTATGCTTTCACATTCCCCTTATCAATACAATTATCCCCCTCCAGAATTATGTTGACGACATTCATTATCTTTCTAAGCACGTTCCATTACAACCGTAGGACTTCTATTGTTGGGTTGGCACAAGTCATTTTTGGATTGACTTGATAATTTTGAAAGTTCTCTAATTTTCAGAACTTGATTGACTCCCCCAAAAATATTTCATGCTAATTATCACTTGTCAGTTCTGCAAGGAGTTATTGAAATCATTTTTACTTAATATCGATAATCTAGGTCAATACTGTATCACTTAGTGGGGACGAAATGAAACAGATATTAAGCAAAAAATATGCCCCCATGTGTAATCAAACTCAATTGTAAAATCATTTATTTATTTATTATTATTATTATTTTTTTTTTTTTGCACAGTAGACAAGGTATGTCCACTATTAGCAAAAGTATCGAGCTCAATTTGAAGAGCTATTCACAATTATGATATTTATGAAGCTTTCCATGTCACAATGTCTAGGTTTCTAAATGATTTAAATCCTGATATCTTTCTTGATGCAGACATACCAACTTTTAGAGTATTTCCTTCTTACTTCGCCAAGCTTGTATAAGATAGGCCACCACCCTTGTCTCGATAGTCACTCCCCAAGTTTGGTTATGTTACTCCTCTTCTTGAAGAAGAAAATGAAGTTTTTGTTGTCGAGCTTATTGAATATTTTGATTAGGTCTGGACAAAACTCTCAAACCGAATCGGACCCGACCAACTGAACCGAACCGAACAATTCTTTTTAAATTAAATACCTGAATAGGTATTCAAATTGAGAATCAAAGGGTTCGATTCAGTTCTCAATTTCGGATTAAGAACCGAAGAACCAAATAAAAAGCAAATCTCCCTAATTTTTAATTTATTCATTTTAAATAAGCCAAATTATTTTAGTTTTTAAATAAATTTATTAACTAATTAATTTAACTTAAACCCAAAAATATGATTTCCTATTTCTAATTTTTAGTTTAAACTCAACTTAATCAAATTGACCTAAGTTTTGCTCAAATCTGTTATTCCACCATAGGGCTATTTCTATCATTCTGGAGAAATTAAATTGAAACTCAACTGCGCCTCTTTTATTTATTGTGAGCTTGTTATCTTCCTATTTTTATAATTTTAACAATCAAATTTATGAAAAACTCAATAAAAAGATAAGCAAAAGACATATAAGGTTGAACTACATTATTTTGTAAGAACAAAGATTGAACGTGTCATTAGTTGAATTAATGTAGCTTTGTAAATACTAAAAGATTTAATTATAGTACAGAGCTTGGGAAATGAACCGAACCGAACCAAATGGAATCGAACCCCAACGGTTCCAAAATTAAATTTAGATCCAATAATTCCACTTACTAAATACTTGAAAATTTCGGGTCCGTTTTAGTACAAAAGAGAATCGAATTGAGCCGAACCATGTCCAGCCCTAATTTTGATAATGAGGATGAGAGTTTCGACATAAATTACCATGACACAGTTGAAGATTTAACTATAGCGTTCTCACCAAAGGCAAACAATCCATGTGTCCTCAAGCTTACGCCAAAATTAATATTGTCTACTCCTCTGTATGACTTTCACATTGACTTTATTTTGGTGTTATCTCAACTGAGTGATACTCCCCAGGCAGCCTAATTTTTATCCAAGACAAGTATCCGCTTGCATACTTAGGAACTTCACATTCACAGGCACAAAAAGATTGCAGTCAATTAACCAATGATCGAGTGACATTGCTTCTTCAACCCAAATCAATGAATCTCTTAAATATCCTACTAATTACCATCAAATTGCTTTAGCTCCTCCATTTATGGTCAATGATCTTAATTTTCATGCCAAAATAAAAGAAAATTATTTTCAATCATGCGACGCATGAGCTTGCTTTTGATGTGAAACATAAGCTAAAAGTCTTTAATGGTGATTATTATACCTTATTGCATGTTTTTGGACTCGACTTCCTAAACATGTTGAGAAAAAATTATTGGATCATTCACATAAAAGCAATCTAGGTTACTTGTCATCACACTAGAATGAAAGCTATGTTCTCAATAAAGCATAATTATTTTCTTATTAGGCCCATTTAAGCCTTCGATGCTGCAATCCTTTGTTTTTGCAGGTAGATCTACCTATGAATCCCTTGTGCTCCTTATTATGCAATGCTAATTGAAATTTCCTGGATGAATTGCATAAGTTTTTGCTTTTTGAAATTTTTTGTCCCTACTTGGTTAGAAAGAGAGATCGTCCCGTAGATCATATATATTTAGGGGATGATTTGCAAATTTGGTTGTCGTTATATGATCAATTTCATTATTTGATCCAAATGAAAGATCATCCTCCTTGACTAAGAAGTTGCAATCTATCCTGCCGTCACGTTCTTTCAGCCAGGAAGAAATGATGAACATAGATATAGAATTTAGATGTGATTTTAAAATAGAATTCAATTCAAATTATGTTTGTTTAGATTAGCTTAATTTTAATAATTAGATAAAGTTTTAGGTCATGATATATTATTTTGATTTTAGCTTCTTTGCTCTATATAAAATTTTTTTATTCATTGTAATATGTACTCTTGAATATATGAATAAATAAATTTTCTCTTGCCCTAATTGCTTCTTCTTCTTGAACCTCCTCTCTCTTCTCATTCTTCAATTGTTCGTTGTTTAATTGTTATGTCCCTAAGCCAAGATGTGTATGTGATTATCATAACCTGGAGGTAGAGTTTTGTTCAAGAAAACTCATTTGGTGGCGGTCAAAGACATGACTAAAGACTGAAATTGCCAAGTCTTCAAATTATGAGACTCGATCTAATTTGTAAAAAGGGAATACACATCAATGCTTGGTTTAGATTAAGGAAACAACCCAACTACCATAACAATTGTACAGCACAGGAAAATAACCACCCAAATAATCAGAATATTGTCATTACCTTGAAATTTGATTAAAATTGATGCAAAAAGAGCATCTAGCCTGAGATAAGAAATAACACTTACATGATAGAATGGTGGTGAAGGGTTAAGTTCGGCAGTCTTGGGTGCACAGCAGCAACAACAGCCACCCATGTCTATTTATTTATTTTCTTATCCACCTGAAACTACTAGCACTTTGCTCATTGTCTCCCTTCCCTACACATGAAAAGGAAAAAAATCAGAAAAAGCATGATCAAATCATTCTAAAAGCCAAAATGGAGAGACTGGCAATGTTCAGTCATTAATGATATGGAGGTCAGATAAAGCAAAAGGCCAATGTGATATAGCATTCAATAACAATACCTTGAAGATAGCCAAAAAAAAAAAAAAAAATACCTTGAAGATAGACAAGATTTGGAGTTCAAGAGGCTGAGTATCCAAAGAATTTAAAGCACAGTTCATTTGCCAATACAAAGAAGTTGTGATGCTTACATAGCCTATATCTAGATGTCATAGCTAAATTCCGGAGAAGTATATTATGAAACTAAAAGTAGGAGGCCAATATTTTACAACCATAGGAGGTAAACTTCAATCAAATTTTGGGGAATACATTTTCTACGTTCAGAAGACAAAATATGATATACTGGTCGTAACACATTCCTCTTCTACTAATTAGAGGACATGGAATACAAGAATTCTAGTGTCTATCGATTCCAATGAAGATTCCGAAACCCTAAGAGTTGACTAACTTTTTGCTTCTGTTCGATACAAGATACAGAGTTTCAAACTCACAAAAATATCATCACTTCTCCCATCCTATCATTTAAAGAATATTAACTGGCGATAAAAGTGAGTCACTTTCACAATCACCCAGAACACCGATTCATTCATCAGAATTTATTTATTTATTTTTGGCACCTGATGACCACAACTCTCATATTCATGTCCAGAAACTGCAGGTATGTGAAATCAAGGGCATAAGGATATAAATACGACGACATAAAAATTTGATCAAATAAACTTCAGAAAATGAATCCTGAAAATCAACAACAACAATGATTTTAATTCATGCATATAACCTGATAAGTGAAACATTAAGACCAGTGCCGATAATTTAAAAAATAAATAAATAAATAAATAAATTTCAAATTGAATTAGGAAAAGCTACAAAGGGCTTTTAACTGTGATGGACTTCAAAAAAGAAAGAAAACAAGAGTGACCTGTTAATGGAAATTCAAATATATTCTGTAAACATAGTACTTGTACGTCCGCTTGGTCAGAACTAATCTCATTACCACACAACAAACGTTTCAAAATCATCCCCTAATCACAATAACATAATGAATTAGTAAATGAACAAGTCTACAGATAACAAAACTTCGCCAAACATTAATTCCCTGCAGTAAATACAACTCTGACAACTTAAAGACGCTAGCACACGGGCATAAATACAATAGCCTCAGAAATCGGACAAACAATCTTTGAAGCATTAAAATCAGCAGCTCAATCAATGAAAAATCTCAAAAGCCCTAACTAGATATAGAATCACTGACACATAAAATCCTAAAACCTACACGAAACTTCGTAGCCGCAATCAGCTATTAAATTCACAACAGTACCAATTACAAAGAATCAACCAATATCAAAAACCAAACAAAATTAGAACCGAAACAATCGAAAAGAGAATCAAATTCAATACCCGCAGGTCAATTACACCCACATATATACACGCGCGCACACATGTACACAACACGTAATATCCAAATAAATACATGCGAAGGATATGGATGTATACCTTGTGTTTGTGATGATTGATTTAGTGAGGAGGCGTGTTTGTGCTTGTGTGTGTGTGTGTGTGTGTGTGTGTGAGAGAGAGAGAGAGAGAGGACGGTATCAGTGGCAGGAGGACGACTTGGAAAGTTGGCATCATTTGAACAATTTGATTTAAATAATAGATACTTTAGAAATAATTGAAACTAAGGGCTCGTTTGTGTAATGAAAAATACATTCGTTTTATGGATTTTTGTATCATTTTCTCGACAATTTGTACTGTTAATGTGTATTTGATTGACATGAAAAATATTACTTAGAAAAGAAAATGTTTTTCATTTTTTGTGAAAAATAAAAATCATCTACCCAAGAAAAATATTTTCCTTAAAAACAAGGAAAATTAGGCATATTTTCAAGAGTTGGAAAATGTTTTTCATGGAAAAAAATAGCAATCAAACACTCCAAGTAGAATTTTAGGTGGAAAACTGATAATTTTAATTATTGGTGCACGTTAGTGATGAAGATATTTTAAATCTTTGTTAAATTAACACATTTAGCCCATGTTTGATTTGGATGAAAATTATGTCTCTATTTGATAAAGATTAAGACCCTGTTTGATACCCATTTTTGTAAAAATGAAAATGAAAAATATAGTCGTTATGAGACCCACACAAAAGATAAAAAGTCAAAATATGGTGGCTTTTTGCGATTGATAACGATCATATTTTTCATTTTTGTGGCCAAAGAATAGGAATTAAACGGAGGCTAAATCGGATTTTTAGTAGATTTTAATAAAAATTGATGGAATTTTTAGTTAAAAAGCTAAGAATCCTATCAAATGTGTGCCTCCAAATAATTATTGATTTAAATTTTAATATGATTTTTAAGCGATACCAAACATGAACTATATTTTTAGCATATTTAAAGTTGGTGAAATGTAATTGAAAAGTTGATAAGAATTTTGGATGTTTAGTTAAAAATAAATTTGAATTTTCTCTATTATTATTTTTATTTTTATTATTATTTTAAAGAAATGAGACAAACAAAGATTTAATTTTATGGAGTTGGGATTTTATTTTTCAACTTAGGTTTGTGCCTAAAAATTAAAGAAGTGAAGCGAAACACTTTCTCACAACAATCATGTTACGGTGATCGAAAATAGTTAACAGAAGGGGTGACCTATCCTCACAATGGCAGGCCCACTTTTATTTTGGACTTTTTTATTCACGCAGGATCTACGTGCATGTGAAAGAATGTCAGCCATTTGGTCATTCATTTTCGAACAAAGAAGTTTAATTCTTCTTCGAATGCCCAGGTTTTGACAAATCAAGGAAGGTTGGATGACTTCCGCTGCTAGGGTGTGACAATAATGTCAGCCATTTGGTCATTCATTTTCGAACAAAGAAGTTTAATTCTTTTTGAATGCCCAGGTTTTGACAAATCAAGGAAGGTTAGATGACTTCCGCTGCTAGGGTGTGATTTTATTGTCATAATGAAAGGTCGAAGACCGACTTGCTTCTTTTTTAAGATTAAGAAATGACTGGTGATGCAATTTTTCGTTTCTATCATGGACAAAAATAAAAATGTTTTGCTTTTTTGCATGAGTTTGTTGAAGACATAAATCAATAGATAAACAGAGACATTCTAATGACTTTCTGAGTCAATATTCATCAATAGAAAGGGAAAATTGCAATCGAGGTTTCAAACATTTCATTTATTAGCAAACTTTGCCTAAACCTTGAGTTTGTTCCACCCACGATACCAAATCTTTCAAAAACTCGCAGTGGAAGTCCAAATAGATGGAAACTGTTAATTTGACCGTTAGTTGACCAAAGATTTAACATTGACCATTATTTTGACTAATTTTAAAAGGATAAAATTGTAACTTTACATTTAAAAAAAATAAAAAATATTACAATATATTAATAATTAAATCAAAACACAAAAATACTATTCATCTTCTTCTCCACCCCCTACCATCCAAGCCCATTACACTTTCACTACATTCTAATCAATCCCTATAGCCTCATTACTTCTCGTCGTCATCCAGTCACGTACCTTCTTTCGGCATCTCCAACCCCCTCCAAGAAATCCCTAAACCCAACTGTCACATCGTTGGCTCTCTCGCCAGCATCTTCCTCCTTCATCCAGCGTCAATATCACCTCTTTCGTTCGTCCCTTTCGCTGTCGATTTAGCATCCATCTAGCTCCGACACCCCCATCAACTACCACTTCTTTCGCTACTTCCAAACCACAATCAACTACTCCACCAATTCCAAATCGTTTTATTTCATAAGATTCACCTCTCCACATACATAAGTTCCACTACCGCGCACCAGTAATCAGCATTTTGCCACCTTCATTCGCAATTTCAAGAACCGTGACCTACATCAATTGGGGTCTTTCAAATCGTCAACGTGTCCTTTCACATCAGAGACCATGCTTTTTGTCTGCAACTTGTGATTTTCTAGTTTTGGTTCTTTCACACATTTGATTTATTGTTTGTGTCGTCCCGTTCACTGTTGTCTAGCATAAATTGTGGAAGAATTTTTGGGTTTTGCTTTCGCACTCAACCATCATTCTTGCGCACAATCAAGCTCTCACAATGTGTGTTTTGGTGGGTGTCGATTTTGGTAGGATTTGGTTTTGTGGAGTGAGTGGGTGAGTGTGTGTGTGGGGGGGGGGTGGAGATGAAAATGAATAGTATTTTTGTGTTTTGATTTAATTATTAATATATTGTAATTATTATTTTTTTGAAAAATGTGAAGTTACCAGTTTATCCTTTTAAAATTAGTCAAAATAATGGTCAATGTTAAATTTTTGGTCAACTAACGGTCAAATTAACAGTTTCCATCCATTTGGACTTCCACTGCGAGTTTTTGAAAGTTTTGATATCGCGAGTGACACAAACTAAAGGTTTGGACAAAGTCGACTAATAAACGAAAGATTTGATATCTCGACTGCAATTTTCCCTTATAGAAAAAAGTATTACAATTCTACGGCAAAATACAAATCAATTGCTCTTATAACTAGACTTCCTTAAATTTTCATCGGAATTTAATGTGAAAGAGATAATTAGGATTCGGTGCTCATTAAGTTGGAGACGACAATACAAGAGTCCACCACTCAATTATTCTCACGGAAAACACGTGTAACAATCATGTCCATTTGAAAAGAGTAGATTGAGATATCTATTCCAAGTTAGGTGTCGTCGTCGAAAAACTTGACATTATCTAGGTGCCTAAAGCTAAAGCCTCAAATTAGACTACGGCTAAGATTAACACGCGTGGCATTATTTGGGAGTAGGCGGAGCTCCACCTCAAGTTGGTGGCTGGCTCTCCATCCACCACCTCTTTTGGCGGTTTTTAGGCCCACCCCCGGCTGAGAAAATTCTTTGCTAGGATTTATACTTTGGTTGGTGGACAAACCATGGTTTTGTACATTTTCAAGCACAAAATTTGATGGGAAAATTCTGAAGTTGTTGAAGTTGGGTAGATGGAATTTATATCATATTAGGCTAAATTTTTTTATAAAAATAAAAAAATGAAGCCAAAAAAAAAATAATAATAATAATAAAATTAAGCCCCTATTTGGTAGCAATTTTTCACCTCTAAAAATTAATTTTTTGACCGTTATTTTATTATTTCAACCGTCATTTTTTACTTCTTCACTCACAAGTGGGACCCACTTTTTCTCTCTAACAGTCAAAAAATCAATTTTCATAATCACCACCGAACAAGCTCTAACGAAAAGAAGTAGACGTTTTTCAAGTAGCTTTTTATTTTTAATCGAATTTAAATATATTTTTTTTAAATTTTGTTTCGAAAATAATTCCTACTTAATCTTCAGCTTCAATCAATTAAAAATGTTATGCAAAATTTATTCAAGAAGAAGAAGAAGACTTGGCCCTACAGTAATAGGATCAACTATTTAATGTTAACTTTTTATTTATATTTATGCTCGCATTTAAGCAAAGAAAAAATTGCCAACGTGATAATTTTTTAGTCAAGTTAAGAATATTGATCGACTGTCAAAATGTTATGCAGTTGAAAACGATATTCAATTTCTAATACCTAATTTTCGATTAAGCACCATGTAACTCCATTTTTCAGTTTATTAAATCTAAGTGTATTTAATCAACAAGAGAAAATTTTGATAATCAACTAAATGCCTTCAAGTAATAAATCTGATGCTAGAGGTGAACACGGTTCGATTTAGACAAATTGAGACAAATTTTCAAATCAAATTACTTAAAACGGATTGAAAAATTTTCAAATCATTTCAATTTCTAAACCAAATCAATCCAAATTACCCTTTTGTTTTGTTGGTTTGGTTCGATTTAAAACAATGATTTAACAAAGAAAAATTAATATATATCGAATAAGAAAATTACTTATTAAATCATAAGTATCATAAAAAATTTACAAATCAAAGTTCTATATTCCTAATCATTATAATGCAACAGCATAATAAAAAATATTTTAACATCTTAGTCGATACTAATTGATTCAAATTATGCAATTGTAATACATGATTCATTCGCTTCATAATAATAAAAAAATGGAGGACATTAATTCATTTGTTTTTGTGAAATAATACAAAACAACTAATAATAGAAAGATCAAATATAATAATACATTTTATAACTTTATTTCATTCAAATATTGACAAACCACTTTATGTTCTTTGTTACCATACAACCAATTTATAGGACAAATCATCGGTTTAACCATATTTGTACATAACGAACTTCTAAAAGAATCAAGAATTCTACTATTACAAAATGCAGACTCAAAAATAATTATGAATATTTGATAGTTAACACATCTTTAGCCATTGAAGAGCAATCTTATATTTATTTACATTTAATTTTCACCAAAGTAATACGTTGAAAGGTTCATTCGTCAAATTTTAAAAACGACCATTTAAGTAATCCAGCAAATCACTCTAGCAATTAACAATAAAATCTAGAAATTAAATTAAAATGTAAATAATTCATTGATTGACCTAACCAAAAAATTGAGATGCAAGTAAACAAAAAAATGATGTCAGCTAAAAATTTAAAGGAGCTCGATACAAATTGAAACAAAAGCAACACAAGTACCAATAAAATGCAACAAACAATTACCAAAAAGTAAGAAAAATGGGACAA